TGGGTATCGTGACCTTGAATAACATGTCGGGGGTGAGCACGACCCTGGGCTAGATATGCTACAGGGGAATCGTGACCTTGGCACAGTGTTATATCAGGTGTGAGCACGGCCTTGGATTGTTAAATGGGTAGCGTGACCTTGGCATAGTATGAAGTGCAAGATTTGTGATGATTGGTGTGATTGAGAATTATGACGTGATGACAATGCATGATTGATTGAAATATGATATGTTGAAATATTTATGAATATTAAGCTATAATGAGATAATATGTTGCTTTTTCTTATGTGCTATATATATAGATGTTTTCTTTTCTCACCGTACAACTTGTAGATGTTTTAGGTGAGGAAGATCCGGGCTATGTGTAGCATCTAGAATGTCAACAGTTGATTTATGGGTATGCTCTGATATTGTGACATCGGGGCAGAGGATTTCTAGGACATCAATTGCATTGTATATGGAGTTGAACATATTATTTTGAAAACATTTTGTAACCTCTTATGTTTTATTTTCCAAGTTTCATTTTCAGACTATTTTGGATATTGAAGAATGTTTCTAAAGGTTTTTATGTGAACCATTCTACCTATGTTGAAAACTTTATTTCCTTAGTTTATTTATATTAGTACAATATATGTGTTGGGGTACTAAGGGTGTCACAGGGCTTATAGGAGAATACCCAAAGATCTACGTCCTTCATCAAGCGTTCATCGAGGTAAGGGAAGAGTGAGTAGTCTCACTCTAAGCATGAGATGTATGTTAGGTAGTGAGATTGACCTTCAATTCCTTCTTTGTTGCTTGTATTGTATGAAGGAAATTTTCCCAATTGATTTCATTATGTGTTTTTTTTAAATCTTTCATATGATTCTTTATTATTTTATTTGATGTGGTGTAATTGTATATGTCTGTAGTTTCATCATTAAACATATAATTGTAAAACTTGGATTGCTTGTGGATTCTCATGAAAATCCTAAATGGTTATTGTGTGAGTAATTAATAGGAGTATGGTATTAGAATGTGAAATTGATGTTGTATTTGAGTAATTGATGGTATAATAGAGTAGTATTAGGCTTTAATATATGTTTTTACTAATTGGATATGGAGAAAAAAGTTTGGATGTGAATTATGTCAGATTCTAAAAATTGTAATAAGAACATACCTTGGTATTTATATGATTTCTCTATGTGTGATTAATGAAATTGAGTTCCGATTGTTGGATTAGAAAGTAAACATTTGGAGCTATAATTTAGACTCAAGAATCACATAAAAATGTTAAGAAATTACTGTGTTATGTGAGTTAAAAGATGAACCTCATATTCTGTGCATAAAATGCAACATGCGTACGTTGTGAGCCTTTTGAGTAGACTTAAATGACAAAATTAGGTTTTTTAATCTTCATAAAAGTTGTAGCCCTAGATGTCAGTTTTCAAATGTCATTGGAATCAATTAATAAAAAGGTCTAGATCACAAGTTATGACTAAATTAGTAAGTGAAGGTCCAGTTGTTAGGTTTAGGCCAAAACATTGCGATTTTGTATTTTTTTTTTTTTTAAATAATAGATGGCCTAATTAGCTCTTGCAGTCAACATAGAAATTGAAAATAATTGTCTTATCTTTCTAATAAAATCAAGATCAACTTGATATAATATATATAACTCTAGATAGGATCTTTGGATCACAAAATGTTAGAAAGTTAAGTTGTAGAAATGTAGTTTGTAACGAGGATGATGAATAGCTTTATGTTGTGTTTGGATAAATCATTTTATAAATTCAAGAAATTTTAAATTCTTAGAATTTGAATTATTCTCAATTGAATTCCCTTCCTTTTTTTTATTTATAAATATTTTGTTTGGATAGAGCATTTTTCAATACCTTGTATTTCAATTATCTTGTTTGGACAAAGTATTTCAATTTTTACTAAGAAAAATTTCATTTTTAGATATTTATTAAAAAATTAAAGTTTTAATATTAAATTTTATGAAAATATATTTAATAATTTGAAATTAATTTTAATAATATAAAATTTTAAATAATTAAAAAATAATACCAGGCATTATATTTAATTAATTTTTCTTTATAAATTTACAAAATATTTTAAATTTGTAAAATATTTAAAAACTTCGAAACACCATTAACATCCGCAAAATAATTAATACATTGATTCACGATACAAAGTGAGTCCATTTTAAACTAAGAACAAAAATAATAGGAATCCTTAACTTTGAGTGTAGATGGTTCAAAATCACAATATCTTGTACGGATTTAAAATAAACACTAATGAAATCCCAAATGTGTGTATGTCTATATCAAGATAACAAAAATAAAAGATAGTTTGTCAAATATATCAAGATCACAGCTTCAAGACTAAAGATTTTCACCTCTTAATAGATGCAATGCCTACAAAAAATAAAAATAAATAACAATTATAATAAGACCAAAGATCAAAACTCAAGTAACAAGTCATTTTGTTATCACACTTCAAAATTTACACAAGTATATGAGATATGATAAACTATAGTAAATGTATGTTAAATTAACACTAGAACTGTAATCATCTCAAATAAGGTATTAATCCAAAACAAAAATGCAATAAAATAGAGACAAAAAAGGAAGCTAAAACTTTATATGGCTTGAAACAAGCTCCTCGAGCATGGTATAGCAAGATCGACCAGTACTTCACTGATCATGGATTTAGGAGGAGTAAGAGTGAGCCTACACTATACATCAAGACTCAAGGTTAGCATACTCTCTTACTTTCTCTATATGTAGATGATCTTATTTACACTGGAACCAATACAAAGATGATGATGGAGTTTAAAGAATACATGATGAAGACCTTTGAGATGACTGATTTTGGTTTGATGAACTACTTCCTTGGTATTGAGGTAAGTCAAAAGAAGAAAGGGATATTCATTTATAAAAAGAAATACATTGAAACTCTCTTGACGAAGTTCAAGATGAGTGGTTGCAAGACTGTCACTACTCCACTTGTGACAAAGGAGAAACTACAGAAAAATGATGGAGCACCAGATGCTAATGCATCTCGCTATAGAAGTTTGATTGGAAGCTTACTATATTTAACAGCCACACGACCAAACATAATGTATGCTGTAAGTCTTTTATCAAGGTTTATGCAAAGCCCAAGCCAAATTCACTTTGGAGCAACTAAAAGAATTCTAAGATATCTACAAGGCACAAGGGAGTTTGGTATATGGTATAAAACCATGACCAACTCAAGGATGATTGGCTACACCGATAGTGATTGGGCAGTATCAATAGATGACATGAAGAGTACATCGGGATATGTCTTCTTACTAGGATCTGGATTTTTCTCTTGGGCGTCAAAGAAGCAAGCGACTTGCACAATCAACCGCAGAAGCAGAGTATATAGCAGTTGCTAAAACTACAAGTCAAGCAATATGGCTACAGAGAATACTTGAAGAAATGAGTGAACAAGATGGACCGACTGTTATATACTGTGATAACAGATTAGCAATAACAATGGTAAAGAATCAAGTTCATCATCAAAGAATGAAATACATAAGCATAAAATATCACTTTATCAGAGAAGTAGAGACAACTAAGCAAATTCAACTGGAATACTGCTCAACAGAAGATCAAGTTGCAGACATATTTACAAAGGCACTATCAAGAGCGAAGTTTGAACAACTACGGACTATGCTTGGAGTTACCAAAATTTGCATCAAAGAGAAGTGTTAAATTATGATGCAAATTGTAGAAAAGAAAAAGAAAATTCAAGAAACATAAGATAAGATGTATAAGAAAGAAAAAGAAAATTCTAGAAACATAAGATAAAATGCATAAGTCTCTAGAAAAAACTAAAAGAGTGTAGAGACTTGAAGAATTTAGAAAATTATAGATATTTTCACCATCATCTAAAGATGGAACACCATGTCTATAAATAGGCAAATTGGGACATTATTGTAACAATAACAACAATTACCACTACTACTACTACTCTCTAAATTGAAATAAGTTCCTATTATTTTACCAACTATTCCCTTGACAACTATTAAATACTAACAGTTTGATTTGCAGACCAAATTCTCCTAATACCATATTAAACTAAGAAAACTGATTTCACGTCATTACATAGATGATAAAAGAGATTGTATTTATATATTTAAAAGGAAAAACTAATAACTAATTTTAGCAGAATTAGTTATAACCAACACACTAAAATTAAAATGACTAAGAGTATATTAGACCGTAAGATTGTATTAGTTAATACTTTTCAAGTTTTCATGTAGCACATAGCTCTACATTAAGTTATTGTATTTGTATAGAAGTATTGCAATCATCTCGATTATTGTGTTTGATGTTTAACCCTAATGTATTCATTCACATTAAATTTACGTTAACCTTTTCTTTATTCAAAATTTTAAAAATATTGGTTATTTTTGGCATTTGTAAATTTTGGACTTGTTTAAATGGGTATTTATGGTTAAACACTTGTTTGTGGGAACATCATTATGCATTTTTTTAAACCATTCTATTCTTAAAATATAATGTTTTATTTAAAATTTAATTTTTGAATTTTTTTATTGAAAATTAAAGTTTCTATGTATCCATAGCATTAAGTTATATATTTTTAATAAAATAAATAAATTTTAATTTCTTAATCAATGTCAACCAGAAGAATTTAACTTAAAAAAATTGATTGATGAGATGAATAAAATTATTTAAAAACTAAAAGCAGGAAATTAATCAATTGTTTTATCAATGTACAGTTAACAATCATTTTTCATATGAATTAATTAGTATTCCCAAGTGGAAACTATTCATAGATGTTTACAGCAAAACAGAAAGGGCGTGTTTGAATTAGCGGTCGATTGGTTACACGTCACAGCTTAGTGAGAAAAGCATTATAATGTTAAACGCGTAGTGGAAAGTGAGATCAGTAATATCGAAAGCAAATAAATAGACCCAAAATAATTGTAAAACAAACTAGTTAATTTCTCACATGTGACTTGCGCTGTATATAAATATGACAACGTTTTGAAGCTACTCTTCACATTAGGGAAAAGGAAAAAATCTTTGAATTCCCGATCGAAGAGACTTGAGCTAGCAAGTGATTCAATCATTATTCAGACAGATATGGCTAAGCAAGAGGATCAGAAAAACCATCTCTTCGGCATCAATGATCTCTCTCATAAGACCCTTCTTCAGAGCGATGCACTCCATCAAGTCCGATCCATTCAACAAACTATTGCATATCTCTCTCACACAACATAAACAATATTTTCCTTTCCATGTCTCACGTTCGCTAATACTTGTTCTAATATTGCAGTATATACTTGAAACGAGTGTGTATCCAAGAGAGCACGAGTGCTTGAAGGAGCTCCGCGAGATGACAGAAAAACACCCTCGGTAATAACATGCTTATTTCCAACCTTAATTACCATATATAGAATTTTTAGTTTTAGTTTTAGTTCCATGCTTTGACATGATATATAATAAAACAGGAACCGCATGGCTACACCACCCGACGAAGGACAACTTCTGAGTATGCTTCTTAAGCTCACGAATGCCAAGAACACATTGGAAATTGGTGTATACACTGGTTACTCTCTGCTCTCCACTGCCCTGGCTCTTCCCCATGATGGAAAGGTCCATACTTTTTCATTACCACATAATTAAACTTTTTATTATATGGAGTACATCATTATAAAAGCCATGAATTTTAGTTTGTAACTTATTTAACTACTTGGTTTCATTAGATCTTGGCTTTGGATGTGAACCGCGAATATTATGAGCTAGGATTGCCCATGATTCAAAAAGCTGGAGTGGCTCACAAGATCGACTTCAGAGAAGGACCTGCTCTTCCTCTTCTTGATGAGTTGCTTAAAGATGTGCGTGCACCTCTTGTCACCATCTCAATTAATTTTTAATTTTTAGCCATGATCGCAAATTGAGAAAGAGAGAAGAAAGAAAAAAAAAAAAAAATAATATAT